TCCCTACATTCAAATCTGTATAGATATATGCAATCATCATATATATATATTTTTTGTTGTTTGTTTGTTTTTGAGAGGTTTTTGCTATACAGCGTGTGCGCTCGCCAGACAGACAGAGAGAGACAGAGAGACAGAAAGCAAGAAATCACCCCCCAAGGGGGATGGCCACGCCGCAGTCCCTTCTCCTCCATTCTCCTCTCGGGATCTTGCGCATGCACGCACACGTGCCTGGCGTGAGTTTAAGCCACCAGGTCTGGGACTCGAACCGCGGTCGACTATGTGGGAGTCCAGCGACATAGCCATTACACTAACTGCTGATCCCTACAATCATTATATTTTTACAATTTATATTTTTATTGGTTTAGAAGTTTTTCCACTTAGCAAAATATTGTGAACATTTTTCTATGACAAACATTTTTTGAGAACAATTTTATTACATACATATAAAAAATAAATGTATCATTTGTTTGACTATTCTACAATTAGAAATTTAGGCTGTTTCCAGGTTTGTTTGTTTTGTTTTCTTTTGTTTTGTTTAAGAGACTTTTGCTTTAGGGTATGTGTGCTCACCAGGGAGAGAGAGAGAGAGAGAGAGACAAAGATAGTGAGATTGAAAGTGAGAAATACCGTCCCAGGGGAGATAGCCACGCCACAATCCTTTCTCCTCCATTTTCTTCCCAGGATCTTGGGCACATATGCACACATTGCTTGGCAAGCCACCAAGTCCAGTACTGGAACCACAGTTAGCCATGTGGGAGTCAGCGGCATAGCCTCTCTGCCATCTGCTGGCCCCATGTTTCCATGTTTTTAAATGTCTTTGTATATAGTCTTTTCCTCCATTTTATATTATTTTCTGTTTTGTTTTGCTAGAGGTTGCCTGTACTCCCCAGAGAGAGACAGAAACAGAGAGAAAGGAGGAGGAAAAACAACCCAAATGAGTAATTACAGGAAAGCACCCCACAATCCTTTCTCCTCCGTATTTCCCTCCTATGGGAATTTTGGGTATGTAGGCACATGCACCTGGCTTGTCTCTCCAGCTGGGTTTGAGACTTGAACCATGCTATTGGCCATGTGAGATTCAGTCGTCTTAACTACCAGCCATGGAGCCAGCTCTTCATATTAGTTTCCTTTTTTTTTTTCTTTTTTTGGAGAGGTTTTTGCATATGGGCGCGCGCGCTCGCCAGACAGACAGAGACAGAGAGACAGAAAGCGAGAAATCAACCCCCCGGGGGGGATGCCCACGTCGCAGTCCCTTCTCCTCCATTCTCCTCTTGGGATCTTGGGCAAGCACGCACACGCGCTTGGTGTGAGTTTTAAGCCACCGGGTCCGGGACGTGAACCGTAGTCAACTCCGTGGGAGTCCAGCGACATAGCCATTATGCTAACTGCTGGTCCCCATATTAGTTTCTTAAGCCTGATTGCAAAAAGGATAATTACTAGATTGTAAGACCATTAATACTTATTAGTATTTTGTTATAAAAATTTTATAGAAATTTTCAGGCCTACTTCAATGTATGAACATTTTCTTAAAATACTCTTATAAGAATCTGGATTAATTTACTTAATTTTTGACAAATTTCATAGGGGTAATTAGTATTTTATTATTGACTTTATTTACATTCATTCTATTGTTACTTAAATTGAACTTAAAAAATTTTTAATATTTAATCACGTATATGTTTACAGTGTATAACATTTCTTTCTCCAGCATGATTACCATGCATATCAGTCAAGACAAAGACATTACTATCCACGTCATCATCATCATCATCAAATAGCTTTTTATTTTTTTCAGATTATTATTATTTATTCTCATCTTTTTTTTTTTTTTTTTTTGAGAGGTTTTTGCTATAGGGCGCGTGCGCTCGCCAGGAAGACAGAGAGAGACAGAGGGATAGAAAGTGAGAAATCATCCCCCACGGGGGATGGCCATGCTGCAATCCCTTCTCCTTCATTCTTCTCTTGGGATCTTGAACACACATGTACACATCCCCAGCGTGAGTTTAAGCCACCAGGTCTGGAACTCAAACCTCAGTCGGCTACATGGGAGTTCAGTGACAAGCCATTATGCTAACTGCTGGTCCCTCATTATTATTCTTTTTAAACATTCAATCACTATATATCATTTGGCTTGTAAAGAGAATTTACTCAATATGAAATACTTTTGAGACTAGTCCAGGTGAGAATACCATACATGTTATCATCAACAGGCAATAAACATTTTTAAAAAATAATTATTTTATTTTAACTTTATTTATTTATTTATTTGACCAGAAAGGGACAGAGCAAGAGAGAGAGGGAAAGTGAGAAAGCAAGCTGCCAGGTCTGGGACTCGAACCACAGTCAGCTATGTGGGAGTCCAGCACCCTTAACCACCGTGCTACCTGCTGACCCTGAACATTTTTTAAAGTGATACTATTTATTTGTATTTTTTTCTGTGATTATCTATTCTTGTCTTTTGCCTTTATTTCTAGTTTGATAATAAGTTTTTATTTGACTATAAGTTTTTAGTATTTTGAAGCTGTTAATGTAGTAGTACTAAAAGAAGGAGTCATACCTGTTCTATTCCTTGGTATATTCTCAATGTACTGTTTGGGCTTTTTCAGTAAGTGTTTACTGAAGTTGTTATATTTATTTGTTAGATTATACCAATATAACATAACATATGAACCTTGTTATATTTCTTTGTTCTTTTTTAAATTTTTTGCCAGAGGTTCATGTGCTTACCAGGAAGAGAGAGAGGGAAAGTGAAAAAGCACCCCCCATGGGGGCTGGCCACACGGAAATCTCTTCTCCTCCACTTCTCCCTCCTATTGGGATTTTGGGCATACAAGCATGTGCTCCTGGCAAGTTTCTCAAGCCACTGATTTGGAACTTGAACCATGCAGTCATCCATGTGAGATCTAGCCACCTTTAGCATGCTACCAGCTGGCCCATACTTATTTCAAATATTTTCCCAGTTTGTTTTGTGCTTTTTAATTTTTTTTTCTTTTAGTATACAAAACCTTTAATTTTATGTGATCTACTTCTAGAGATAAGTTAAATACTCATGCATAGGGCCAGCCAGTGGCATGGTGGTTAAGGTGGCTGGATCCCACATGGCTGACCGTATGGTTTGTGTCCTGCACCTGGTGACTTGAATAACATGCCAGTATATATATATATATATATATATACACACACACACACACACACACCCAAAATCCCTAGGGAAAATTGAGAAGAGATTGCAGTGTGGTCATAATTCCTAGGGGGTACTTTCTCACTTTCCTTTTATCTCTGTGTCTCTATCTGTCTTTTGCATGCAGCCTATAGCAAAAACTGAAAAAAAAAAAAAAAAGCATATTTTTTCTTGTCTTTTAAATATTTAATTCTAATGCAATTGGAAATTGTTCAGTGTAAATATAGAATGTAGTATAAGGACAGTATAGATAGTTTAGAGTAAGTTAGAATTTTTTTCATTTTTTAGGAATTATTTTACTTAACTTTATTATTATTATTTTAATAGTTCCAGAGAGAGACACACAGAGCGAGGGAGAGAGGGAGGGAAAGTGAGAAAGCCAGCCTCCAGGTCCGTGACCTGAACCATGGTCGGCCATGTGGGAGTCCAGCGCCCTTAACCACTGTATCACCTGCCTGTTCTCATTTCTGTTGTACATAGCTTCGTATGGTATCTCATCCTTATTTTCTATTTTCTTTTGTTTTAAAAAGTTTATATTTTATTTATTTTTTCCTAGAGGGCATATGCACTTGCTGGAGAGACAGTGAGAGAGAAGGCAAGAAATCACTCCCCACAAGGGATGACCCTGTCGTAATCCCTTCATTCTTCTCCCAGGATTTTGGGCATGCATGCATACATGCCTGGTGTGAGTCTTAGGCTGCTGGGTCCAGAGCTTGAACCATAGTTGATAAGTTAAATAGTCATGCATAGGGCCAGCCTGAATTCATTTTTATCTGGAGCTATTCTTAGTTAATATAAATGTTTTTTGAATCTGAGTGAATTTTGTCTGTTCTTTTATGTTACTTACTGGGCTGACCTGGTGGCCTAGTGGTTAAAGGAGCTGAATCCCACATGGCTAACTGAATCCTGGCTCCAGATGCTAAACATATGACCAAAATCCTGACAGGAGGAGAAGGGAATGGCATGACCACATTCCATGGGTGGTGCTTTCTCTTTCTTTCTCTCTTTTTCTGTCTCTCTCTGGTTAGCATATGTACCCTCTGGCAATTAAAAAAAACAATACTACTTATGGGACCAGCAGTTGGTGTAATGGCTCTGTCACTGGACTCCCTTGTAGTGACTGCAGTTCGAGTCTGGGACTCCGTGGCTTAAACTCAGTATGGGCACATGTGCATGAGTGCCCAAGATCCTGAGAGGAGAACGGAAGAGAAGGGATTGCGGCATGGCCATCCCCCCTGGGGGGGGTGATTTCTTGCTTTCTGTCTCTCTGTCTCTCTCTCTCTCTCCCCCTCTATCTTTCTGGTGAGAGCACATGGCCTATAGCAAAAACCTCTCAATACTACTTAGTATTTTTCAATCATTCCTCAATTCCTATTGACATTTAAAAATGAAATTTTCACTTTAATTCTTCTTCCTTTGTTTTTCTTTCCAAAATACTTTTAGTTGCAGATTTTATTTTTGTTTATTTGTAAATGAATTTTTCTTTAATGTTGCTTAATTAAGATTCGGTAACACTGACATTTTTTCATTACAGATTACTGTATTGGCATTTAATGAGATTTGAAGGAAAGAAGTTCCTGACCCAGTTAATTCCTCTTCTGTCTTCCAGAAGTTCCCTGTTACATAGAACTTACTTTATATAAAACTTGACACGTAACTGTGCAAATTACTGAATAAAAGTTCTTTTGACAATGGCATTTTTCTTCTATTTTAGGGACTTCACTGTGACTTTGCTTGTCTGATGTTTCAATACTTAGTAAATAAGCCTTCAGAAGAAAGAGTCAGGGAGATCATTGTTAATGCTGTCGAAATTGAACAGGTAAGCAGGGCAATTTATATAGTTAGTACATCTCTCTTTTTCTGATATTTGTACTATTGCTAGATTGACTTATGAAAAGGCCATTTTGTAGGTCAGAGCAAATATCAGCAATTTCATATGCTCAATTTGACAGTACTAATACATGATATATTGTAGTTATAAATCAGTTTATAATTTGGTCTATAATTCAGTCTTTATTCTATATTAAGCTTTTATGTATACTTAAATCTGTTTCAGAGTTATTATTCCATTGAATTGATTTCTGTGTCAAACCATGCCCTAAAAAATATTAATTATTGTAACTTTAGATTTTTAGATTTTTAAAAATTCATTAATGTATTTATTTATTGTCATTCACTATATCAATACAGTATACAAAATAAGGTTTTTCATCCAGTATACATTGTATATTGGCTCAATCAAGTATATTACCATATATGTTTTCATCAAAAAAAGAATTTTCTGTTTCTTGTTTTTTATAAATTTTACTTTTCTTCCCCCCCCCCTTGATTCCCTACCTCTCACCCTCTGCCAACTCCTCCCTTTTCCCAGACTGTCTCTGATATGTACAGTTGTTTTCCATGCCTTTATTTTTTTCACATTTTATTGATTTACTAAGCATCTTAATTAATTTAAACACTTTCAGTAGCAAGCACAGCTGATATATACATACTTATGAACACATGTCTGACTTTAGGCATAAACCTCAGTGAGTAAAGTGACCATACTATAAAGTAGCACCTTGCTGTGGATATATAGCTTACTGCAGTCATTAGATAGCTATTAATAGGTATTTTTAAATGAATTTTTTAATTGTAAAAATCAAAATCAAAAAATGTTAAGAGAAGTTTGCTTAAAACTTAAAGCCAAGAAAAAGGTTAGGATTCAGTTCAAATAGTAGGTAGATGAACCTATCAACAGCTCAAGAGAAGACAGAAATCCTTAAATATGGAAATAAAAACATTGAAGAAAATCAGTAATGTTTTAGTCTAAAGTCAAAAAATTCTATTTCACTAGTTCAGACTTACATAATTAATCTCTCTTCTATTGAGTTTTCAGTGTTACTGTGGTCTGATCTTTCCATTTAAAAAAAAAAAATTTAAACGCTGAAAATTTACTCACCCCCAGACTTGTCCCTGCCATTAGGCTGACCATTCTCTTGGTCGTTTCTCATACTCTTATTTCTGTGTGTCTAACTTTAGTCATTCTGGTATAGCACTCCCTTTGGCACTTCTTGGAGAGCTGATCTGATATTGGTAAATTCTTTCAGGTTTTGTTTATCTGAGAATGTTTTTTTCTTTTTCTCCTATGAAAGATAATCTTGCTGGGTATGGTATTCTTAGTTGAAATTGTTTTTCACTTAGCAGTTTGAATATATTTTACCATTCTTTCCCTGCTTGCATTTTTTCTGATGAGAGGTCCAACATTAGCCTTATAGGATATCCTTTCAAAGTAACTTGATGTTTCTCTCTTGACAATTTAGTATCTTGTCTTTGTGATTTTGGTCAATCTGGCTATGATGTGTCTTGGGGAAGATCTTCTTGGGTTGATTCTATGTGGCATCCTTTGTATTTCTTGGGTCTGGATATTTGGAGAGGTTTTTATTTTTTGCTATAGGGCGTGTGCGCTCGCCAGACAGAGAGACAGAGAGATAGAAAGCGAGAAATCACCCCCCAGAGGGGATGGCCACACTGCAATCCCTTCTCCTCCATTCTTCTCTCGGTATCTTGGGCATGCATGCACACATGCCCGGCGTGAGTTTAAGCCATCAGGTTCGGGACTCGAACCACAGTTGACTACGTGGGAGTCCAGCAACATAGCCATTACGCTAACTGCTGGTCCCTTGGGTCTGGATATTTGAATGCCTCTCTAGGTTTGGAAAGTTTTCTTCCAGGATTTCATGGAACAGATGATCAATTCCCTTATTAGTTTCTTCACCTTCTGGGATACTGATGATCTGGATGTTTGGGCATTTAATGATAACTAGTATTACTCATATGTTACTCTAAATTTTGGGGGTTATTTTCTCAGTCTTTTTGGTGAATTTTCTAGGTCAGAGGTTCTAGCTTGTACATCTGATATTCGATCTTCTGCATGATTTAACCTGCTTTTGATATTTTCAATGGAGGTTTTGAGTTCCTGTATTATAGTCTTCATGTCTAACAATTTTGCTTGATTCTTTTTTTTAATGATGTATATCTCCTCTTTCAGATTGTGCAAGAACTTCCTCATCTCTTGGAACTGGGTGTCTCTTTTCTCCTGTATCTTCTAGAGTTTGTTGTCTTTATTTTCTTGCACCTCTGTTAGCTTTGTCACTATGAGTATTTTAAATTCTTCGTCTGACATTTCCATGAATTCCTTTGTATCCTTTGTGGAGGAAGGCTAGTCATTCTTTTCCCTTAGAGGAGAGATATTTTCTTGGTTCTCATATTTCTTGTGCCTCTGGAGTGGTTTCTGGTCATCTGTGGATTATATATTTTTTCCTAGTTTTTGGAGTTAAATCTGAGCAATCAGAGGAATGCAGAAGGAAGTGGCCTGCAGCCTGTAAATAGTATAGTTTTTCTCCCTTTACACAACTGATTCAATTAAAATTGAGAATTAATCTGACCCTAAAAATATTCAGATATTTGGCTACTGAGCACCTAGACCTGTCTAGGAAATCAGTTTTGGGGGCTGAGCAGAAAAGTGAGAAAGGTAAAAGAAAAAGGAAAAGGAAAAGAAATAGGAAAAACAAAGCAAAGCAAAAAAAAAAAAAAAAGGAGAAAAAACAATAAAAAGAGAAGAAAAAAATGTTTTGTCAAGAAAAGGTAAGAATGAGAAAGACAAAAGAGCAGCAGAGAGCTAAGTTTAAATTTTTTTTTAAAATAGAGAGAGATGGAAAGAGACAGAGACAGAGAGAATAAGTTGGGTGCTCTAACCTGACTCCTGACTAGACTGGCGAGCAGGGAGGGTAAAGTCTGGGCAGAGGATCTTCAGTGGTCGAAATCCCTGATTGGGATACCTGGTGTGTTTTCCAAACTGTCAAGTCTGGGGCTCGAACTGTGTAGTCAGCCATGTAGGATCCAGCTGCCTCAACCGCCATGCTACTGGGCTGGCTCTACAACTTAATTATTATTCTTTGTTCTTTATTTTTCTCATGTTTACATCCCAGGAGTTTTTAACAGAAGCCTTGCCTGTTGGCCTCATTGGAATGAATTGTGTTTTAATGAAACAGTACATTGAATTTGTAGCAGACAGATTACTTGTGGAACTTGGATTCTCAAAGGTAAGGTGTTTAAAAATGTATTATGGGGACCAGCAGTTAGCGTAATGGCTATGTCGCTGGACTCCCATGTAGTCGACCACGGTTCG